TAAGATCAGCAACAAAGTAATGCTTTCCTTATTCCCACTGGCTTTCCATTAGCCATTCATTGATCATTACCCAGCAGATACTTGATGATTAACCGAACAAAAGTAAACAATAGGCCAGGGCAAGACAAAAACAGACCTGCTTGAACATTATGCTTCAGGAAAAGAGAATGATGCAGATACTGGTAAATGAAAGGGCCAGGAGGGAATGTTGACACACAGAAGAAGCACTTGTGTCACTGAGGTGCCAAGAACACTTAGCAGGAGCTATAGCAAGATGGGATGTTGCACGTACAAAGGTGTGTTTTGCAAGCAAAAATGATTTACACAGAGAAACTTATCTGGGCAGACCATCACTGTGAATCTTCTAACAGTGTGATCTCATGTACAGCTATTCCAAAGTAAGTCCTTTGGAGGTCAATGGGACTGACAGACAGGTGAGTGTGCATAGAACTGCAGCAGGAGAATAAAAGACATGATTCACAAAATGAATGGGGAAGAGGAAAACGAACCAGTTGTGCTCCAGCTGAAGATTTTTACATCCTTTTAGCGGAATTATCTGATCTGGACAATGAGCATCTCTGGCTTTCAGTGCATATATGTACAGATATGCATAAATGTACACATATATAGGCAGAACTCAATAGCCCTCAGACCTCTGGCTGATGGATAGGCCAGCGTAGAATCCCCTCGCTTGCTTTGTAGTCCCTGAAAAGCAACTGGCAGCTAGAGCTGAGTTTTCTTTTCAGCAAGAGGGGAAGCAAGCTCACTTTGCCTGCCCTTTCTGTTTCCGAGCTGTGCTGGTCCTCCTTTTGGTGTCACATTCTTCATCAGATACGAGGGCAGGGCAGGGCAGGGCAGGGCAGGGCAGGGCAGGGCAGGGACCAGCATATGCTTCCCTTCGACTCTGTAGCCCCAGAAGAACAGAGGCTGTGGTGTCTGCATTCCGTCATGTAGATATGCAGGGCCTGTTTGGGGCAGTAGGTAATGCAGCCAGTGATAGCTGCATTGCTTCTTCCAGCACTCACCCACTGCTCTCCTTGTCTTGCTTAAACAGATGACCGTCACTCTACTACCAAGGAGGTTTGTGACTCCTGGCAGGGAAATCTGGAGCTCCGATCCCTCACAACTCTAGTCAACCTGATTAGTTGGGTCCCTGGCAAATGTTCAAATGCAGGGATGACCTGAGCACAGCAGGTCCAGCAACCTGTAAGTCACTTCCATGCCACACTTGGATTTCAGGCAGCCTACTAGAAAATGGAGCTGCTTTTCCTTGAAGAATGACTGCAGGGCAAAGTATTACTGGAGCACAGTGTCTTCTGGAAACCAATTCATCTGACATTAACAGCTTTAGCAATATGCTGTATCCTGGGCTTATAACAGTGACATAATCATACCATTGTCTTGTGGTTGAGGAACATACATGAAAATATTTAGCACAGTGCCCTTCTTGTGCCCACTCCATTCAATGTTACAGGACTTTTTACAAACAGATATTTTAAAAGGCTGGTTCTTGACAGTTTGTAGCTTATCATTTTTCTGTTTTCTTAAAACTGTTTCTTGAACCACTTTCCTTCCTCTTACCCTGAATCATACTCATACCATAAAAATACCAACATGCCAGGAATTTACTCCTCTGCTGTTGAAACAATTTATTAGTATTCACATAAAAAGTCAGGGATGAAGAAAGTAGTTACATTTGGAACCATATGAGGGGAGTCTCTTGCCCTGACATTGTACTGTTAGCATGAAGACTCCAAGAGGTATGGAGATCATACCCCTACCAGTTATTACATAACCCAGGCTGGGCTATCCATGGTCCTCCTGGACTATCTGGAACTCCCAACATCTACCAGACCCTGGCCAGCAGTAAGGCATGCTGGGAGCTATAGGCTAGGCAGGGCCATAGGTTGCCCACTGCTAAGCAAACAATTTATTGGCAGCAAAGGTATAGAAACAGTACAAAAACAATACTTTCCATAGGGTTTAAATAATGCTAGGTAGGAAAATCCTCTCAGCAGCATTCTGTACAAACATGTATAGTTCGATATTTCAATTAAAAATGCCTATGTCTTTTTGGGATTAAATTCCATGTACATGCATTAATCAGCTGGAATTAGTATTGCTTCCTGGTGTGACTGCGGGGATGCTGTGAGATTCTGGTGTTATGAAAGAACCTCCTAGTTATTGCTGGACATAATTTGAGAAAAGAAAATGAAGCTTTCAGCCAAATTGACTGTGGTCTGTACACATAGCTTTACAATAAGCAACCCTCCCTCCTCTCATGCATTGCAGAGCAGCTGCGTGAAATGGTTTCCAAACAATTCAGGCCCAGCAGCCCCGCACTTCTCATATTTCTGTGTATCTGTTTCAGTGTTAGAAGACAGAACTCCAGGCAAAATCTAGCCTGGACTTGGGGGCCAAATCCAATCCTCCAGGGCCCCCCACTTTCCCTGTCCTCATCCACTGATTATTTGGTGTTGTTCCAGCTTTTCTGCCCGCCCCCACCAAAAAAAAAAAAAAAGATGTTTAAATGCCTCTTCCAAGGCTTGTAAGCGCAGTAAACTAGAATATGCTAGTATACCAAAGAATGCAGCCCTGAGAGATTTTCCAGGATGGGATTTGGCCATTGGGCTGAAAGAGGTTCCTTGCCCATGGTATAAACTATTTTCTTCACTGCAGTATATAAAGCAACATACAGACCATTTATTACTGGCTCATTATGTATGGTTACTTCACACCTATAGTATTTGTGACCCTGTGAACAGAAAACATGCACTAGCTGTACTTTCTAGCATGCCAGAGGTTTCATCAACCTCTCATTTTTGCAGTTTGCTGGTGTCTTATAAAACAAGAGTGTTTAGCCCATGAAAAAAACGTAATACACAGTTGGCAACCACCATTTACATTGGTAACTAGTTGTATAGGTACAAAGTAAACTAATGTGACTAGGTTTCAGGCATGGGAGTCTTTAATTTGGGAATGCCAGGAATAAACATGGAAACTTGTACAGGGAAAGAACATGATCTACCACAGAGCTATGGCTTTATCCCTGATAATGAAGGCTTTCCCAGTTTGGTGCATTCCAGATGCTTTGTACCAGAACTTTCAAGATTCCCAAGGAAAGTCATTTTATGCAAATGTATTGCCTGTTGCTATGGCTTCAGTGGAACATGACCCAATAGGATAGCAATAGGATGTCATTACATGGCGTGGGAGCAGTTGAAGCTGCCCTCTCAATAGAGAGGCTGCAGGCTGGGCAAAACAAATGGGGAAGAGCTCCGCCCCTCCCCGCCCCATTCTCTTCAATCATTGATCTGGCATAACCGGGAAGGATTCTCCTCCCTTCTATCCTGCAGCAGGTAGGACTTTGGGAAGGGGCCATATTTGTTTCCCTTTGAGCTGGAGGGGCCAGCCTGGCAGTCCAAATTTGTATATGAGCTGCAGGTTTCTATATCTGCTTTAAATCATGTTGGGCTAATGGCATTTCTGGTTTTGCAGTTGGGCACAAATTCAATGCATTCATGAAAAGTTAACTTTTATGCAGTTAATGCATCTTTTAGAAACTATGGGAAGTGGACAGAGAGTCTTGTCCATTTTAGGAAAAGGGGATCATGGGGGTTTCCAGAGTAGGCTTTTATTGTAAATTGACTCGGCTTCATTCAGAAAATGTTATGGGTTGGGGACAATATTGTCTTTCATTTATAAAAATCCTATGTTTTCCCATCACTTCTTCCAAGACTGTCTTGGCTTTTTATTCTGCTACATTAGCTGATAAGGTAGTAATTTTTTACTACAAAAGTTTCTCAAGGGAGCTGTCTCTTCTGCAGGGCAGCATTAGGTGCCATTCATCTGAAAGCACTGTGCCTCTCCACTTAATGCAGCTCTTAGAAACTGCAGCAAGTATGAGGCAGGTTTGTTCAACGTGGTTAGTTTCTATTCTATTTTGTGAGATGGAAAATTTGTACCATCCTGATTGCAAAGCCAATGAACAAAGAGAAGTAACTGAAAACATTTTCTTCTCCATTTGGTACAGCTCTTAAGTACTTGCAGCAAGTGGTGAGTAGGTTTGTCTAAAGGGGATAATCCATTTTTTCCATAAAGGTGACAGTTTATATAAACTTATTCTGTCCATCAGTTACTTCACAACAAAAGAAGAGCATGGAGGTGGGTTTAAGTTCTTTTGCTGCAACTTAGTAGTGAAATGGAAAGTCATGAAAACACTTTAAAAATACTTGTCAATAGCAAATGAATAAGATGCATTTATGCATGCTATTTTAAAGAGTTCTATTGTGGTGCACCTTTTAAGTTTATTGTGATGAGAAAGCTTCTTTAAGTTGTTCTTTATGTGCAAATTAAGCAAAAGGAAGTAGCTACACCATTGAAGGTTATGTGCAAGGGCTTAGTAAAGATGGATGCACTGTGACATTATTCACTGGAGGAGATTCTGTTGTATTCTTGTACTTCCAGTGACCCCTGCTGATATTTTGCAGCCAAACTAGCTCTGATGTTTCCTGTAATATTTTTTAAACGAATATGCTTGCACAGGTATTATTTAAAGTATTTCCTGATCTTGACAGAATTTTATCTTTGCTTTGGTTCAACTCACTTGGGACAAAGTTCCGAGTGTTGGAGTAAATAATTTGGTGTTCTTCTGGTTCTTTTTTTTTAAATATAGTTCTTTCTGACACTTAACCGTAGAGGAGGCTTAATGCTAAAAGAAAGGGTTTCTAGAATAATTAGAAGCATCCAAACCACCCTCCGGTTATCTTCCTAGGCTGAATCTAGATGTTTCATAAAACTATGAAGCCTTTCCCAGCCTGGTGCCTTTGAGATGTGTCGGCCCATGATTCCCAGTATCCCCTAGCCAACTGTGGTGGAAGTTGTGGGCCCACACAACTGGTGGCAACAGGATGGGGCAGCCTGCTCAGGAGCCAAATGGCCAAGGACATTCCTTCTTAGGCACAAATCCCATTTGTCTGATTTAAATGAAAGAACAAAAATTCAAATGTAAAATGCTCTCTTTTAATTACTAAATTAAGACAGTTAAACATTTTAAAAATGTAAACTTGCAAATAAAACAATAACAAAATGCAATTAAAACTGTAACATTTTTTAAAACGTAAGAGAAATAGAAAGGATGGGGCTTTTTGTTTCTTTTTGGTTAGAAGGAAGGAATCCAAGGCTGATAGAGACAACTGAAAACGTAATACTTGTGTGCATCCCCCTCCTCCCTATTCCCATTTCCCTTGAAAGAAGTGCATAGTAATTCCACTGAAACACTTGCAGACATATGGAAAATAGTTTCATTAGCAGTACAGGACATTTAAAACACCTATTTTATGACTGGAAATGGTACACGCAGAAGATGCTCTAGTGGAAGGCTGATGAAGGTTAAGCATGTGGACATGACTAAAATGTTATAACGTTGAGACTACTGCATGTGGTTGCAATGTTTATTAAATTTTTTTAAAAAATCAGAAAATTTTCAGTATACATGATTTGATACAAGAAAGTACTTGCAGTTTCAACCTTCCAGTCCAAATGGGATAATGGCGGATTTTCTTGCTTTAAGAGGCTTGTTTTAATGTAGATCATAAAATCAAACCTCCCAGTTGGCAAATGTTGGAAATTCTGTGCATGATTTCTGAAAGATTGAAAGTTACAACGACCTACAGGTACACAGTCAAACCAAAAGTGCAATCCCATTAAAAAACATCATGCTGGGCCAAAGCCAAAATTCCAGTCACTGGCTCTCAGAGTCGTCACCCGTGGTTCAGGTCTCCAGTGAAATTAGTCTTTTTTCTGGGTGCTTCAGCATTATGGCTACTCTGTTTCTGAAATGAATTTCCTCTGCAATAGCACCCGTGGACTATACAGGTATGTATATATTTTACATATATTTTTCATATATAAAAGCAAAAACAAAACAAAATCCCCAAGCACTGGTCCTGATTTTATTTTGTTAGAACATGAAAAAATGTAGACAAAAAGAGGCCACTTCTGGAAAATAATACTTTAGTTGAATCAGGAGAAGACTAGTTAAAATCACATAATTTTGCATTATTATTTTTTTTAAAAAGGAAAGCATTAGGATAAGTTATTGGCACTGAATTACTATTTACACTGGACAAAGATTTTGCAGTTTACGGAACATCAAAACAATGCAATTTCAGAGTCTTTGATTAAGAATAAAACCAAGTGTTCATGTTTCTGTTCAAAGAAGACATTCAGATCTTTAGGACAGGCAGTTCTGGAAGTTCTTGTCAGGCTCCAGCATATTTTGACGCTCTAAGACACTGGCTTTGGGAAGAGCCAGTAAGCCTATGTCAGTTGCAAATGGAACACCTGATAATGGTAGTCTGCACAGAGCAGAAATATTACAGGTTGTCACCTGGCTGGTACTGGGGTTCAGTTGCAGTAAAGTAGTCTTCAAGGAAACCCTGCAAATACTCAAAGGTTGGGCGCTCTTCTGGGTCTTTTTTCCAGCAGTGAATCATGAGCTCATGTAACGAGATGGGGCAATCCTGAGGGCACGGCATCCTATAGCCCCTTTCGACTTGTTCCAGGACTTCACGATTGTTCATACCTATGAAATACAAGCAACAATGGAGGAATTCTTTTGATAATGGTTGCAGAACAAGCTCAGTTTTGAGTATTTAGTGAAAAGGAGTCACTGGACAGATTTGTAGTGCCAGGCCCAGCTGTAGGTAAGTGGCCACTTGATGGTTCCTTTCTGCCAGGCCTTCCTGTGCCCAGCAAACAGGGAAAGGGTGAGCCACTAGAGGCTGACAGGCCGATCCTGCTCAGCTTGACCTAGATGGAGACTCCTGCTTATCAGCCAGGGACATCCATTCTGGCTACAGAGCAGCAGCAGGTAGGTTCAACAGGAGAGGGTGTCTCTTCAGCAGAAGATGGTAAGACAGAAATGCCTACAGGTATTCCCACCAATTGCGGGATGGGTTTCCCTGCCAAGACCAGAAATTTGATAACGATTCCTATGTACCACGTCCCTGCAAATACTCTTGTGTAGTTTCCAGTGGCCTGTGTAGGTGACCAATGGAATGACCCTGGAAAGATCAGTGCCTTTAGAACAGGAATTATGGGACTGATATGGGGAGCAGAGCTGATGTGGCTGTATTCTGCCCTTGTTGTAGCCCAGTAGACATAGCCTGGGACTCACTGGCCCCCCGTTTTTGCAGACATTTGGCACCTCTGTGAAAGCTGTTTGCTCATTACTGGAATTACTATAAAAGATTTTTATTGGGATTGTTGCGTTGACTTCAAGGCAATCAGGACAGGGAATTACCTAATCATTATCACTGTAATATTATTTATTATTATTTAAAACGCTTCACTACTGGTACTTTTGAAATAATCAGAACACTTTAAATTATTTTATGAAATCAAAAGGCAGGACTCCAAATATACCCTCATTTCAGTATTTGCTTTGGAAATATCCCTGCACAAATCCTTAACAAAATCCCTCACCTTCCTGGAGCATTTTGTTGTTGTTCCTCTAGTCAATTTTCCTAGTTTTCAGTTGCCCACATTGGCATTTAATCTGATTAGATGCAATTTGATTTATGAGTTGCATCATGACCAACCCATGATATCATTAACACACATTATGTGCGTTGTCACAGCTAATAAGATTAATATCTGATTGAGTGGCTCCCCAGGCATCAACTTACCCTTCATCATCTGAAGCCCTTTCCTGTTGGTCACTTCCCTCTCATGATCTCCCTGGCAAAGTCCACCTGGCACAGTTTTATCTTTTTAGGACCAAGTAATGACCATTGGCAGGATATGATGAATTTTTTAATCAGGGCTTGAACTTACGTCTTGTTTTATTGTTTAAAGAAACTGCTAAAATGTTGAAACATTTTCTTTAAACATGTTTTTAGCTGTGTGTGTATGGTTATGTATTTATATATATATTTTAATAAGAACACAAGAAATTAGTATTATGTTTAATAAGAACAAAAGAAAAGCCATGTTGTATCATACCAAAGATCCTTCTAGTCCAAACACTTGGTGGCAAACCAGCTGCCAGCAGAATCCCTCAAGCAGGAGAGGTGTTAAGCCCTCCACCTGCCCAAGCTCCTCAGCACCTGGTGCATGCAGGCAGGCCACCTCTGATAAAGGAAGTAGCATACAGCCTGAAAGCCTTTTTATTTAAACGTCACTTTAATTGTTAACAATATTTGCTTATTTATCTGGCCAGGGTGACTTCTTTTATATTTTATATTTTTATTTATTTTATATTGTTAATTTTAATTTTATATTGTTATTTTTGTATTTTATTGTATTTTATTGTGTTTGTAAGCCGCCCCGAGGCTTCGGCAAGGGGCGGCATAGAAATGTTATAATAATAATAATAATAATAATAATAATAATAATAATAATAATAATAGGCAGTAGCCACTGATAGCCTCCTCCCTCATCCAAATTGGCAGCCATTACCACTTTCTGTGGCAGGGAATTCCCTAGTTCATCCATGTGCTAAATGATAAGTACTTCCATTTATCTGCCCTAAACCTCCCCTGTCAGCTTCATGGGATGACCCCAGGTTATGGAAGAGGGAGAAAAATATCTTTCTTTCCACTTCTTCCAAACCATGCATTATTCTAAACACCTCTATAGTGTTTCCCATTATGCACCTTCTAAAAATGCATTTAAAAGTGTTTAATCTTTGGAAACTCACTCAGGCAGCCCCATCAAAGAAGAAGGAAAACTGCAGCAGGAAGCATAATTATCTGGCAGGGACCTCCCTTTTCTTCAGAGTGGCTGCTGGGCTGCACTGGTGCAGCAGGGAGGTGGGCTGCTTGTGCAGAGCCTGGCAGGCAGTGGGTCTCCAGGGACATGGCAGGCAGCTTGGCTAGTTCTGGAGTGACTGGCCAGGAAAGAGGAGCCCTGCCTCCCAGGTTACAAGCTCTCCAGCTAGAGTTGGAGTAGGAGGAAGATGAGCCGGAATTAGCAGAGGCCTCTGAACTGTCAGGGTCACCCTGCGAGAACTCAGACAGAGTGTGGGCTCCAAGCCATCTGGGAGCAGGAGTTAGGCACTACAGAACAGGGAAGGATATTGATCAAGGGAGGGTTCTTAGAACACATAGGAAGGCATCTGACCCATAGTGGGCCAATTAAGTGTTCTCCATTTTTTCTGCTATTTAGCCCACAGGCAGCATGGGGCACCCCAAGGGTAGATTCAAATCTTTTCTGGAAAGGAAGGAAGGAAATATTCCACTTCAGCCCTTTAGATGGGCAGATGCTACTCCAACATATCAATGGAACTGTTGCTTTGATTTAATCTTTGTGAACCTTTAGAGCCCAGTAAGGACTGTGCTTCTAGGATTCATCTAAGTCTAAGATAAAGTTGGTGGGAGTGTGATGGAATGGAAGACCTGATCCTGACAGGCTGCAGTAGTACAACAAGGCACCTGTCTGGCCTGGAGGTTGTGACTATTTAGCTGTCAGATGCAGGTGCTGGAAGAGGTGTGATACTGGAAGGCCCAGGTGCACCTGGGCAGAGGAAGGTGTACTATTCTGCCATGGCTCCTGCACTGTGGCAAGGGCTCAGATAAGCAGGTACGTGCACTCGTTTTCTGCATCATATCTGCAACCTGAGAGAGACCCTCTTAGTAGGGATGGCCTCACTTCTTCTACATCATCTTTAGGAATTAAATTCCTATACTGCCGGGTCACTCTGGGCAGTTCACAACATTATGTCACCCATCCAGATTTCAACCAGGCCATCCCTGCTTAGCTTCCATGATTAGGCAGGATCAGGCATTTCAGGCTATATGGAAGCTTACACATACTTAACAAGAACAAACACTCCTGCTTTTTAATGTTCATGCGATATATAGGATTTAAAAGTGTTTCAACTGTATATTTTATATTTGTATTAATTTAGAGATTAATTGGGTTTTGTTGTTTTAAAGTCCTATTGTTGAGTTTTTGTATTGTGAATTTTAGGCTGTGTTATTTTAGTAGTGTGAGCCACCTAAAGATGTCCTTGGTGGAATATGCGGCATGCAAATATTTTAATTAAATAAATAAAATAATAAATAAATACATCCGCTGCAGGATGTTGAGTTCCCTTAAATCCCAAGACAGGATATGTTATAGAGTTGTACTTTTGGAAAAAGCAGACCTCCAGATTATTTTTTCCTAAATAGGCAAAATAGTTACAGTTTCTTTTTTAAATAGAAAATTTATTAAGTATTTTGACTATTTAGAAAAAGTTTCAGTATGAACAAACTTTACTTCTATATTCTATTCCACTTTGAACTGTTACAGATGCATCAGGATCATGATTCAGGAAAGATGTAATTACAGTCACAAGAACCAAGTCCTCCTGTCTATGACAAGGATGCACTGAGGTGGGGAGCCCCTGTGTGTGGACGGAATTTCGCCTGTTTTTGCTGCAGTACTTCTTGCTACCTGAAACTTCTTGCTGCATATTCAGATCTAGACATTGAAAGATACTGATTTTGCCATGCTTCTATGAACGGTCTGACGTGAATAGCACAGTTGTGCATGTTTGGTTTTGCCTTTTGTTTACCTGGGTATGGCACTCGCCCTTTTGTTACAAGCTCTGTTAGCAGGATACCAAAGGACCAAACATCTGACTTTATTGTAAACCTTCCATACAATGCAGCTTCTGGGGCAGTCCACTTTATGGGGAACTTTGCACCTAGGAAAGAACAAAGAAGTGATCACTGAGGCCTCTTCATGCGTTAGTGGTTAATAGCTGCTCCCTTTGTTCTCACTGTTAACTCAGTGCGATAAATAAAGAGAAATCTGTTCACTGCATAAGTGAAGTCTCAATATGAACAACCTTCACTCAGACTGTAATAAACCATGAGATTAAAAACAATAATGCAAATCTCCTTCCTCCTGGACATTGGGATTCTGGGTATTCAGGCCTCATTGTTACCACTTTTGTTTTCTTATCTTTTATGTTATGTGGTGCTCACATTGAAAAAAAAAAGCGATGCTCAACTCTACTTTGAAATGTAAAGATTGCCACTACATTTTATCTATTCCCATTTTGTTTGTTGGTTTTGATTTGTAATAGCCTGTTTCTCAACTTTAGCCTTTCAGATGTGATACATTACATGATATATCAAAAATTAATTAATACATAAGAATTACATTGAAAACCATATTATATCGAGTCAAAATATGGATTTGTTCTCCTGCTCCACTAGAGGATTTAGTTTTCTATTAAACAGTAAATAATAATAGAATTGGAAACTGCAATTAAAAAAATGATTATTCATGTTGTTAGTGGGAAACCATTTCATTTTGACAAAGCAATGGTATCATTTCCAGGAATGTCTCAGTAGAAAAGCTCACCTAAAATTCAAGAGCCATTAGTGACTGCTGTAACTCTCCAAATTGAATTAAAACTGCCTTGTACTCATGGTGGATAAAAATCAGTGATTTTTTTAAAATCATATTTTGTATTTAAATATTTTTTAAAATTTAAATTGGATTTTTAAAATAAAATGCTGGTTGAGGAAAAATCTATCTAAACATAGTTTTCTAGTTAAGCAGCATTATTAAGGTTATTCAGCCAAAGTTTATTTATTGTGAAATAAGGATTAGTTTTTAACTATGTACCATGAGGCTGTATATTCATGCAATGTTAAATTTTTTGGTAAACAGATTCCATTAGATCATTTATAACGTCATGCACTTCCAAAAGATTCTGTAAGATTATTGGGCAAATGTTTCTATCTAGAAGATATTATCAAAATGCTTGGTTTTCTCACAACTATGATTTTGGGTCTGCAGAGATCACATGCCTCTTCACAGCAAAAATGTTATCAAATAAGCATACAGGTTTGAGAAAAAGACCTTAATCTCATGGTTCCTTTGCAAATCTATGTACACAGAATCAAGCTCTTGCTTCTTAAGTTGCCTTTCAAGTTGCAAAATGTTCAATGAACAGAAGAAGACTGTTAGGAGTAGAACACCATATTTTTCTGTGTATAAGATAATACTTTTTCTTTAAAATATTTATCTAAAAATGAAGGGGCGTCTTATATGGGGTGGGGGGGAAGGGCGAAAGGAGAACCGCAGGTGCGCTGTGGGGGGGAGGAGACTGGCGTGGGCACTCTCAGAGGGGAGGCGGTTGCAGGCACAGGCACGCTTGGGGGGAGACTGGCATGATCGGAGCGTGCTTGGGGGGAAGCGGGCATGGGTGCACTCGGGGGGGAAGACTGGTGTGATCATGGGTGTGCTTGTGGGGAGACTGGTGTGGGCGTGCACGCGGGGAGGTGGCAAGGTGGCAGGCGTGCACAGCAGCTTGCTCACTCGGAGATTGATAAGAAAAGTGGGGGGGGGTGTCCTATACATGGGCGCGTCTTATAGACGGAAAAATATGGTAGCTAGCTCTACACAAGAAGCTAACTGTGAGGAGAAAGAGGCAAGCAGTAAAAATGAAAATGAAACCGTTTTTAGCAGAATACTCCACAAGTCTTTGGATCTTTTTGTGCATAGCATGAGGTTTATCATATTATTCTTTCCCTGGAGGAGAAAACCCATATAGGCAGCAGGCCGTAAAAGAGACTCAGTTTGGGAATATTTTAATGAAGTTTCTCTACCTATGGGTAAGGCAGGCATGCATGCAAATTATGTAGAAAACCATGATTTAAATTTAATCCACCCTGCTTGTGCTTCTAGTTGAATTGAACTAGAGCCCCTTAGAAAATATCTACAATTTTTCTTAAAAGTCAGAAAGAGTTCTGAGTAAAATGTGTTATTCCTTTCACCCCAGTTCTACCTTAACCAGCTTTTGGCAAAGGCTGAAGAGAAAAGAGCTAATATGAACTGGAAATATAACAGCCACTGCTAGGAATGGGGACCTTTAAGAAGACTTGAAGGTAGCATGTGCAGCAAAAGGAGCCTAAAGGATAGACAGTGACAGAAGCAGTGGGGCGAGCCATGGACACATTAGCAAGAGAAGGCACAGGCATCCCGTGACACAGTTTCATTCCATGCATATCGCAGACACAGTGCAGGAAAAACAGTCCCGTTTTACAACCGAGGTACACTGAAGCTCAGCGCTAAGTGAGGAGCCCGGGAATAGGCAGTGAGACCACGACAGAGGATAAACAGAAACAGCAATTAAGCTGTAAGAAAAAAGACGATCTCTGGGCACATTCAGAGCCTAATTCCTTTGCTGCTGAGCAAGTGTAGCTTTCTCCTCCTTATCCATTTAAAAATTAAGCAGCAAGGCCTCAGATGTGCAAACTAAGCGGCAGCACATCACTCTCAAGGAACTGAGGTTCTTGAAGCACAGAAGATACTCTCTGAACCCCATGTAGCCCATTGCTCTGTTTCCACAGCTGCTCTGGCTGGCTTTCCCTTAATTCAATGGGCTGGGTTAAGCATAAAGAATAGTAAAAGCATGTAATCGTAACTCAGGAAACAGCGTCTTCCCCAGTTGCATTAGGGTATTTGGAAGGTACAGCGCATTAGCAAGTGTCATCCAAACTGAGCACTGGAGTCCTACATATATCTTTTTTTAACCTTTGTTGATCTGTCTTCGGAAAGACCTAATGTTCTTAAGAAACATCTTCCCATTTATCCAGTTTCCCCAACAACAATCAAAGGAAAGCGGTGTTTCCTCCCTTAACATAACCCCCAGTACATTTGTACAATGGTCAGATAATTATTATTGCTTCATTAGGACTAGATCTGGGCAGGGGGAAATTGCTGGTATTGTTTCACAGTCTACCACAGAAAAATAACAGAAAAATAGTGCATTGTTGTATTTTGCTTTATCTAATAATTTGTTTCTAAGATGTAATAGTCTTCCCATAGCTCTCAGTTTATATCAGCATGGAATCACAACTTCTCCAGCCAGTGAGAAATTTCAAGGCAGTGCTACAAGAGTTAATTTCTGGAGATTTATAGTGTCTTTATAATGTTTGCTCTATCTACACATATACAAGTAAAGCAAAGAGACTCAAAGAAGCTCTTAAAATACATAAGAATGTAAGAAAGAAGAGCTTTATTGGATCAGACCAAAGGGACATCTCATCCAGCATCCCGCTCACACAACGGCCAATTAGCTGCCCATGGGAAACCCACAAGCAGATTATGAATGCAACAGTGCTACATGTAACAAGCCCCAGAAAAAGAGTCGTGGTTCTTTCCATAATTTCAGTTACATTTTACTTTCTTCCTCTGCTTTACCTTTTATTCACTGATACATTCACTGATTCACTTTATTCACACAGCTCCAAATATTCTCATGGATACATGTCTTCATCTTCTGCATCCATGAGAGTTATTCTGCCAGTCATGGGATTATTCCCAGTCTTTTTTTTGCTGGGAAGGAGTGGACTGAAGTGTTTTTGATGATGCCATACAAACTCACGTCACTGTTTTATGATGCTTGGGCTATGCAACATGTGAAGCATGGAGAGAGAATGCATAAACTGCTTTCATAAGATGCCAAGGAAACAGCAATTTGTCAATGCATGCCCATCTGTTGGTTGCACATGATTTGCAGGAAATAAGGAAAGTTTATAACCCTATTTTGCTCTTATAAATAGTCAGTGTAAATGTTAGGAAAACACTGAGATAAGCAGATTCAACCAATAATACTATGTCCTGTAAAACTGCTGGAGATGGGTATCTCGACACCATCTGCTTCCTTTAGCAATTCCTTCTGGGAGTCAAGAGAGCTTTTGGAGAGTGGAAAAGGGAGGAAGTCAGTCCTATTAATGTCAAGCACACAAAGAGCAAGCAGCAAGCAAAAAGAATCTCAGTGCTTTCAAAATGTAACCTTCCATGCTTTACGGGGGTGAAGACTGCCTGCTTCCTAAAGCGACTGCCAGCCCCTATCATACTTTCCCAGCCAGTCCTCTGCTCCTCTGTGCCAGGGGCTCTAGAGGAACAGTAGTTGATTGGCTAGATAAACAGTGCAGTCCTGCAGCTGCATCCCTATGGAAATTGTATGTAATAGGGTCATGGGAAAAAACAGCCACTGCTTTATAGGTTACTATGTCAGCACCAGCCTCTCTGGAATCAGGGAAGGAAGAATTTAAACAAGACTCCATTTAAAAGCATGCAACAAATACTGTAAATGTGAAAGGGAAAGGTTTAGAAACATGACTGTAAGGCCATAATTTATAGATGAAAAACTTTGATCCTTCTGCTTAAGCCAGTTGATTACTGCCTATTCATTAAGAACCCATATGAGGTCTCACTTTTTTGATGATTCCTCGTGCTTTTTGGGAAGCTGAGGTCACAGGCAGAGTTTCTTTTCCAGATGCCTGCTTTGCCATCTGAACCAAGGTGGGATAGAGGCATTCTCTGTCAGATGGCTGTTTATTTAACTCTCCCGCTACAGAGTTCTGCTTGGTACTCAGTTTACCAGCTGAAGACTTTTTGTTCTCCTAGACTTTTTCATTTTTGAGAATTTAATTTTAATTGCTTCATTTAAATTACTCATTTCAATTGTGATTTAAATATTGTTTTTATTATATTTATTTTATTACTCTTTATATATGATTGTACACTTCATGGAGAATTATTCTGCTAAAGTGCAATATGCAAATATATGAAACAAACAAACCAGCAAACAAATGCTGACATTAGTTTCTTAGAAGTCAGTGTCAGTGTTTAAGAATCATGAAGAGAACTAACTGTATGGACTGACTCTCCCACCACCAAACTTATGGATTTATAGTTTCTTTTGTAATGTTTTTGAAGACTGCTAGTTCAAATTGGCAGAGATAATATATTAAACAATGAAATTCCCTTGTAACTGATAGACAGTTGCCATTCCCTGTCTGAACACCTCAATCAAATTCTGATTTGGATTCTGTTTTTGGCATGTTAGATTTGGTATGTCTGCCTTTCAACCATTTGCAAAAGCTATAGGCTGATCCTACCTTGTCTGGCTGTGTATTCATTGTCTTCGATTAATCTTGCTAATCCAAAGTCAGCAATTTTGCATATTAGCCCATTTCCCACAAGGATATTTGCAGAACGCAGGTCTCTGTGTATGTAATTCATCCGCTCGATGTAAGCCATCCCTGCAGCAACCTGTTAGATTTAGAATACACAATGCATTCTACTTAATAAATAGAACCATGGCATTTATACAGTGAACTAATTACCTTTTTCTTTTTTACCTGTGCAGCCATGTCTACCAAGTTTGGCAATTTCAAGGCTCTTCCTTCTCCATCCTTTAGGAAATCTAGCAAGCTTCCTGCAGTGCAACACAGAAAATGTTTTTTAAAGCATTTAGCTATTTCTTGATGCTGAAAAGCATACAGCACTGCAATCTATTAGAAAGGCCCCAAAGTGATATATATTTCTAAAAATTTAACAGAAATGTCACACTGGACTTCACTCTTCTCCACCCTCCAAATTGCACACCTCAGGGAAATGTTTTATTTCACTATACTAATTAACTATAAAATATAAACTGATGGAATTTATGAGGTACATGAGCAAAAATGGCAATGATTTAGACTTGAATTCCTAGTTTCATATTTCAAAAGTTATTATCAGAGGCACTTTTTGGTTTTGTTTCTAAACATACAGACCATCCAAAACCAGAACATTTGTGCTGGACTATATTCTTATTGAAACACCAGCACAATTTCAGTTTGCAAAATTATTCTCATGTACGTTAACAGTATGCACCATCTTCACCACCTATGAACATTAATTCAGTGAAGACAATCCTTTCAAAATTAATATTAGAAATGCCTAATATGATATTGGGACCAGCCATTATGCACATCCCAAGCTCCCACTTTTTCCATTCTTTTATGTTTTTAAAACACTGCCATAGGCCTGTAGTTGCCAGAAAGAAATGAAAAGTGAAGGTGTGATGCTTGTTATTGTGACACATGGTTGACTGTGCTAGACTTAGAGGTTCCTCCTGGGGCTATGCCACATATCACCAGTGCTTTAATTGAGATGTCTTTTCAGTACTCCCAGTCTCCAGCTACTTCAAAATGCTGAAATCTCTCGCCACTTCGAGGTTCTCCTGTTTGGAGTACTTACTGCTGCAGCAATGGTGGTTCCCTGACAGTGCTCAAACCAAGGAAGTCATATAAACAGATTTAATGGTTGGGAAGTAAATGGATGGGAAATCTGTGTACCTTTGCTCAGAATGTGGTACAAATTTGCTCTCCATTGACTTTCCAACCATTAAATTCATTTATATTTTCTATTAAAAAATACAGGTATTACTGTCAGTTTTAAAAAACACACCTTTGCGCAGTGGCAGACCAGGATGGAGCAAGTGCTACCATGCAAGAGCTACCGTGCACCAGCACTGCTACCATGGGGCCCCATTCACTCCATCCGATTCACATGCCTTTCCGGGATTATTTTAAAAACTGTCATGACAACAGTAAGTTCTCTGAATTAGGAAGGTGGAGTGCATATCTCCCCTTTCTAGACTGTCTGAAGACTTGGGGAGCATTGGAAAGGTGGAAGACATGGAGAAATGTCAGCTCCATACTTAAAACTGAGCAGACTACATCATTAAGGGGAAATATTTCACCTTTGGTGCACCTACTTTTACCACTTTTCCCTTCTTACCAGCGCTTTTCAACTGACAGCTTGGCAACTGTGTACAAATTTGTCTATCTGTAGTCCTTTCTTGTCAGTCTGTTACCTACTGAACTTTGTTACTCCTTTTGATAGCTGAAAAAATTGACCCAGAAATTGGGCCAGGCAAGTCTGCATAAACTGGATACCTGCAAGTGCATTCCTGCGCACTTAAAAAATGCAGGCAAAATTATGAAGACACTTGTGCAATTTTCTGGAGCTGAAAGAAGGGGTGAACACACTAGTGGCAGAGGCTCCAAAGTGCCACTTGGGCCCTGATGGAAGTGGCACAGGTGGGATTGCAAAGAACGACGGGGGCTTTTGCTCTTCTGGATGAGTGGCTCACTAGCCAATCTCTGCAACCAAAGATGAAATTGGCCCGCCAGGTTTGGATGGGTTGCTGTGACATGCAAGCCCAAGAATGCACTCTGAATTTACAACCTGCTAATTTAGTTTGTATAACATTAGGACAAACACAAAAAGGAGCAAATATAGTAAGGCAAATGAATCAATTTGCAGAAATATTCTCTTTAAAAAGGGTAAGTGGCAGTGCTCGGTTATGACGGCTAAAACATTAAAAGGCGTTCTTCCCACCATCCTAACAATATTTTGCACAGGCCTCCTGTGCAGATACTGTATTTCAAAGGTCAGTTCAGAATGCTTAGTTAAGCATTCCCTGATGAAGAAAGTGGCTGGATCACACAACAGTGCTTGCGCTCAGCAAATCCATGGAGCCAGGATCTAATTGTTTTAGGAAGTGGAAATCAATAACCCTTTCCATTTAAGAGAGCATAAGATGCAGTAATATAGAAAAATGTCAAGATACCGTATTAAGAGAAAACAGTCTGGCACAGACTGCAGAGTGACTATGAAAAGGAAGGTGGGAAGGGAGAAAATTTTTCCAACATTTGCCTGAGATTAACTCACAGAATGGATAAAAGCAAGAGTCCCACTGACTGGGGAAACACACATCCCCAGTCATGTACTTAAATTTGAATATTAGGAAAACATGTCATTCCCAAAGCAAATGGTGTGAAGACATCTTAGCATAATGGCAATAATAGTGCTTCGGTTGTACAGGCTTCCTGGAAAATACTGAACTGCTAACATGGAGCATGTTAGCAGTTCTCAGAGCTGTCTCCATACATAGTTGCATAGCAGCTTGATAATAGAGATCCCATTTGGACACCAAAAGTAGAGATGAAACCCAACATTGCTCAAATGGACTCATGCAAGACACTTTCCACTCCTTCACTTCCCAATGCAGCTCCCCTAAATTTGTTCTGGAATATTCCCTAAATCTCTAGAGCAAATATTGATCTCTCCTTCCCAGTTCTGCTGACAAAAATCATTCTGTCCATGGGAAGTCTTCACTGAGTACCACCCAGTGTTTACCTAATCAAGGTTTAAAAATAAATTCTAGGACTGCGATACAGCAATGTAACAAACTGTCTGAGCTGACAGTGGAACTCCTTTCCAGAGAGGCTTTCAAGAAAAGTTGACCAGTTATCTGCCAGGGGTGTTTTACTGATAGGATATTCTATCTCATTGCTGAATAAAAAATACTGGGTAAACTTTATGCATTCATGTGCATGGAGATAATGTAGATTTGAAAAATCTGGAAGTCAGAAACCAAACCAAACCAAGGAGTTTAGAGCTACAAGATAGTATGTCTATAATCTCTGCAATATATCTTGGATATTTGCTGATGAAAGGAGATAGTTTCTTGAATATTTTAAGCATAATACTTTTGTGCTTTTTTATACTCTCAGATGTATAACTAACAGAATCAACCATGTCTTCAAGAACAAGTGTAATATATACAACACCAGAACTTTCAAAATACTTAATATGGGTCCTGTCCCACAAACAAACAAACAAACCAACAAACACAGATGTTCATCTGTACCCTATAAAATGGTTGCTATGAAGTTCTCAGAGCAATCTGAGAAGGGATACATAAAACAATTGGACAGGCAAGTGAAGCAAAATTAAAAATACATAACCAAAGCACCATTTCCTTGCATGTTTTAAAATACTAATATAAAACAGACTCATACTTTGCTAGATTTTAACCCACAAAAAGGCACAGAAAATATGCATACAAATAATTATACCGGGAGCTAGCAGAACTTGGGATATTTCTATGCAGTGCAATTATGAGCAGACTCTCACTGAGAAACAGAAATAACAGAGTAATAAAGACATGTTAATGTTCTAGTGCCAGGTGTGTGTGTGTGTGTGTGTGTGTGTGTGTATGAGAGAGAGAGAGAGAGAGAGAGAGAGAGAGAGAGAGAGAGAGAGAGAGAGAGAGAGAGTTCTTTTCAAGAAAATAATGTGTGTGTGTGTGTGGGGGGGTACTCCATTGCTGTTAGTTTATCTTTTGTGTATCTACATAATTTTTTATGCTCTTTTGTCTTGTGCCAGACAGTTCCTTGGGTAAATATATAAACAAACCCGATGAAATTAATGTAGATATGTAGCTCACTAGATACGTAGTTATCGTATCATAGTAGTAGTAGATATGTAGATAAAAAAGATACATAGTACCTTTTTAGATGAAGAGGGTTACAGAAATGTTATGATTCACACTGAATCAGTAACTTTTACTCAAGTAGGTAATCCCTTGGTATTGAGGTCAACAATTTTTGACCAAGCTCAGATTGCTATGAACACTATATTCTAATCACAATTCATCTTGGGATCCCAAAAATATAATCCTGTGATAAAGCAAATGGCAACTCTAGAATTTTTTAATTGATCAAGGCTGCTTTCTTTATTTTAAATGTATGTATAAGTTAAACTGAGAATAATCCATACATTCAACATGCAACCAAGTTAGAGGCTATATTCATGTAGTACAATGAATCAAACCAAGTATAACTGTAGCAGACATTTTTCAAAGTAGTAATGTTGCTACAGGGTTGTTTATTCATTGCTCCTTACAACAGAGGGATTATCAGTGCAGAAACATGTAACTTCAGCACAATCCAGTTCCTTCACGCTTGAGGCCTATCATCCTCCAAATTCAGAGGCTTACAATGTATCTAATGCAGAGGGCAGGGCTGCAGCAATCTTTGCTGCCTCCCTCTTGCACTTTGAGTGGTCTGATGAAGTACTGCAGAGGTGGAGGGACAGAAGCTGGAGTACCCTCTGGGGACAGTGTAAGCCACCAGTCCCAGCCTCCCCTGCAACCACCGCCCAGTAGGCATCCTTTTCTTCTCTCCAAGGCCAATTTCAGCCTTGCAGCAGCTACATTTTGTTCCATACCAGTTGCAGAATCAGGGCAGGGCTTCTGCATTCAAAGTCCAGCTCTGAGTTTGCAGGCACGCAGAGCCAGGGCTCCGAATAACCCCGAAGATATTCAAATATGGGACCATTCTCTAATATGGTCATATCAGTGGCTCAAATAGAACCCTATTGGTGGGTCAAGTCCTTCAGAAACACACTTGCAGGCAGCAAGCATAAGACAGGGTACTGAAATAGCAGAACTCGCTATTTTACAAGTAGGTCACAGTAGATAGGCAGTAGGTTTGTATACAGTAGACATATTTTTCAGTTCCCACCAGGGCCTAAAATTCACCTGGGGGAAAAAACGCTTTGGGCAAGACATTATTTTTCAGCTAGTGTGGTATATCAATCAGTGTCAAAAAAGAACTTGAAAAGCCCAGGTTTAAATCCCCACTCAGCCATGAAGGTAATAGCGTGACCTTAGCCCAGTCACTCTCAGTCTGAGCTACAGCACAGGTTTGTTATGAGGATAAAATATGGGGAAAGAGAATGATGTACACTACCTTCAGTTCTCTGGAAGAAAACAAACATATAATAAATAAAATCAATGACCCCAAAGGTTAGTTCAAGAATAAAATTAGATAAGAAAAGATCAAAACAGGAATCTCAGCCAAACATAGCAGATTGCTTAGTACAGAACTAGGAAAACATAAAAGGTTTAATGAATGGATGTCAAATTCAAATTGCCAATATTGAGGTCAGCCATGTTCTGTATTCAAAATTGGCAGCTGGAGTTACCATTTTCCATGTTGATACATATTTAAAGGATATAGAAAGCTGTATTGACTGTACTCTTGCATTAACTTCAACTATGTGAATAAAAGTTTGCCACAGAAATTCACAGTTCTGGTTAAAAATATAAGAAATCTGCATTAAACAACCTTGAGTACAGTTCAGTCTTACAGTGCTGTACAAAATAAAGGATAGGAACGTCAGTTAAAACAGGCATTAAACATAAACAGTTTATGGTGCAGCTACTCTGCATTAAGCAATCTAAGGAGTACCTGTCTACAAATGTATGTGTCTGACACATCTACAGCGTTAACACAGTAAAATGAAGGAGTTAATGCTTAACCTACCTTTACTCATATACTCTGTGACAATGTAGATAGGTTCTTCAGACACCACAGCATAAAGTTGGACTAGTTTGTCATGCTTTAGTTTTTTCATGATCTGAGCCTCCTCCAGGAATGATTCTGGGGACATAGTACCAGGCTTCAGTGTCTTTATTGCCACTTTCGTATTCCCATTCCAAGTACCTACAAAAAATCCACAAATACTGTCAACAGAAACATCTCATGACTGGAGAGTTCAAGGAACATCATTTGTGGTATTGTAAAAACTAAAGAACAGGAGTGTTAAAAGTAAATAATGATGTTTGAAAGGCAGTATATCCAAATGCAGCCTCAGAATTTTGGTTATCTTGTTTATTGATTCAGAGACATCCACTGTAGTAGCTTGAGTTTGGGTGAAGAACCTCAGGCCTAGGGGAAAAAATGGTTCCTCTGGAGTTTCAGTGTGGCCCCCCAGAATTGTCCAGAAGGCATTTCCCCAAAGACTCATCTTTGGTGATTCCCTGACTGAATAAAGTTTTTCACCATTCTAAAAAATTGAAATGCTTTTCCTAAGAAATATGCTGGTAATTTGACCCCATTCCACTTGCCTTTGGCCCTGCCCATTTTGCTCAGTCTCACCCACAGTTGGGATGTAGCCCCAAAAGCCTCTTTGAAATGTTACTTAGCCCTTGGGTTGAAAGAGGTTCAACACCCTTAGACTAGAGGGACTCATGAGTACAGATATGGCAAGCTGGCTTTAAATCTGCCTTTAAAAAGCCCATTAAGCAGCCAAGGACAAGTTGCTGTATCTTAAGCTGATCTATACCACAGAGTTATTGTATGGCTAAGACACTGTATGAGCTTCATAAAGGAAATCTGTCAGCCTCTGTCACCAAAAGAGGCTTGGAGTTCTAGTACAAACCAACAGAATGTATTGGACTAAATTGTGCTGATTAGTGTTTTGGTGCTAAACTTACTTCTATTTACAGAAGTCAGTAGAAAAAGAACTTCCTAATGGAATACTATGTTTTGGCATTAGCCAAAGTGTATTTGTTATTACAAATTCTTTACATTAATTCAAACAGAGGGAAGGAATTCATAGTCCCTTGTCTAAATTAGTTCTTCACTGAACCAGAAGCTGTGAGTAGGGCAATGCATGCATTGATGCATCCACTCAAACATGCTTCTTGTGATGTTTGTTCTGTTTTGAACCCAAAGGCTGGTTTATTTAATCTCTATCCATGGATTTAATTTTGGAACATTCTGAAATGAAAATACTTTTTCTGATGAAAAAAAACCAGCAAACTGGATCATAAAAGGAGGCTCTGCTGTTAATGTCTTCATATGGGAATGCATGCAGTTAGTTTGTTCTCACATATGCTGAATAACTAGCAGTGTTCGTACTACAACAACTATAACAAGATTGCCAAAGCTGCAATCGTAAACATGCTTACCTGAGAGTAAGTTTCATTGAACTACTTCTGAGTAGATAAGCATATGATTGCACTGTTACCTCCTTAATGTAACTAACAAAAGGCCTCTTTAATATATATGTATGTATACATGCATGGAAGACTGCCCTACATATTTCACCAGATCACCTACCATAAAGGCAGCAACAGTTCTTAGTATTGTCTTTCTCATAGATATATGGAAACCATTCATTTTTATGGGCAAAAGTAAAGGGGTGAAGGGTTGTAGTAACTCCTGGGAGCTAAACCTGTCCACTGCTACCTAACCATACTCATTCTGGTGGATGGGGCTTTTGTGCCTTTTCACTTGCATTCAAAATTACAAGCTCCAACAGAAACTACTCAGAAAATAACCAGCACGAATGGTCATTGCCTGAGCCTGGATTCCATTTCTTGCACCAGCTAAAAGATGATGGAACTGAGGAAGTGGCCTACAAAACTGTCTTCAGCCAAAGATTTTAAATATATGCCCTCTATATCTGTTTCCAATGTTGCAATGACATTCTTGAAACATCAGTGCCACACTGATGTGATATAATGCTGCATTTAATAGGGTTATTTGCATGATACGACAGCCCATAGTGGGGTCTTCATTTTGCATATCCAACCACACGGAACCTGGCAAGTGTGATTTATGTGATGGTTAAACAACCCGCATATAACTCTTGAACAAACCATGGGTTATGCAAGGGTTGCTTAACTCTCACGTAGTCCACCCTCACTGGGTTCACATGAATGGTGGTTCGATATGTAAAGGGTTACCCTCAGGCACTATGGTTCATCGTGAGTTAAATAACCCAAGATGAGTCACACATGCAAAGCAGGTCAGCATGGCCCATTTTAAGCAGTCTTGCACAGCAATTTGAAAGACTAGTTCCTCTCCACTGGTGGATCATATCAAAAAACTAGATTTTGGTGGCAACATTATCTCTCTTGGTCTCTTAATGCCTTTCTGATTTTGAAATTGAGTTCTTTCATGATGGCTTTATGCATCCAGCCCAAAGAGAATGGTTTTTCGCTGCCTTACCACTCCACACTTCAGCAAAACAGCCCTGACCCAGCTTCTTTTCCAGAAACAATGTACCGCGTGCAACTTCCCATGCATCCTTAGCCAATCCGACAGTTTGTGGAGTGTCATTCGATGCAACCACAGTTAAGTTAAAACATAAACCATCAGCTTTCTCTACAGGAAAGGAAATTAATAAAAGAAATACTCATAATTCACATAGTTATTTCATGCACAGAGAAAGATGGAAGGTGGTTTTGTCCTTCAGTGCCCTTGCTCAGTTAATTTCTAGATAGCAGGCTCATGACAAATCTTTGCATAACTAACAGATTAGAATTTATGAAGCTTGATAAATTAAGCTGAAGTCAATTTGTTGAACCTGACCAGTAGCAGGGGAGCATGTTATTCAGCTTCTCCCCTTTATACTTTTCTCATTGCTTAGAATAAGTTTTCAGTGTCAGGAGCATGTTATCCTAATGCCTGCTCTTTGATGCTGCTGGTCTTTCCACATTCCATCTTCCATACTTGTCTCCAGAAGGTAGGAGACTATTAAAAAATAAAAATGTTTTCTCTGCATACCCATCCATACTTCCCCAAACTGCCCATTTCCCAGTCTCTTGATCAACTGTAGTGATTCTCGTGGAATTTCCCAGACATCTTTGGTTTTGACAGACAGATCAGTAAGCCTTGGCATTCCTTTATGACAAGGGACTACTAAGCGGCAACAAAGACCTGCAGCTCTCTCTGATGAAGCAGAAGTGAAGCATAGGGGGAAGAAAAGAGTAACAAACATGAAACAAACACAGCAAGCAAGAAAAACAATGCTAGTAAACAAGTCACATCATCTGTTAGTAGCAATCCGAAAAGTGCTTGAAGATAAAGACAGTACACACTTAAAACATTCATTTTTGAAACTCTACTTCCGGACCTCATAGCATGAATATTTCTTAATCCTGTTCTTAGTTTTGTATAATGCACTGATAAACCATCCCTCAGCTGCTGCTTCTAATTGCAACATTCTGCATGTATATCTAGTTATGTATAATACAATCCATTCATTTAAAATATTCCAGGGATTATCATCCTCCCCAACATAATGTTATGGTCTTTATGTGAGTAAGAATTTCAAACAACTGTTTTAAGTTATACATTGTGGTTTGTATAAATCCTTAAAAAAAGAAGCACAGCTAAGCTGGTAAGATTGGCAGGAGTTTGTCCCCTGCTCCCAGGCATTCATGGAACTATGTCTTATGTGGTGAAAATGTTTGTATTTGAATATTGCTATGGTTTACTGTCAGAGTCATGCTGATTTTTAAGAAGAGTTAGGAGCAGTTGTATATGGCTCTCTCTCTATATATATATCCCTCTGTATGTGTACTATGTATGTGACACTTCTCAAGGAGCCAAGAAAGCCTACAGATGAGTAGGGTTGCTACAGTCAGAGCTTGTAAATTGCAGTTTTATAGAATCATAGTAGAGCTGGAGGGGGCCTATAAGGCCATCAAGCCCAACCCAAGATACCAGTTAAAGCATCCCTGACAGATGGCTGTCCAGCTGCCCCTTGCATGTCACAAGCATGGGAAAGGCTGCAGCATCCCTAAGTAATTGGTTCCATTGCCGTACTGCTCTAACAGGCAGAAAGTTTTTCTTGATGTTCAACTGGAATCTGGCTTCCTGTCGTTTAAGCCCATTATTCAATGTCCTGCACTGGACGCTTGAGAAGAGATCTTGGCCCTCCTCAGTGTGACAGCCTTTCAAGTATTTGAAAAGTGCTCTCATACCTCCTCTCAGTCTTTTCCCAGCTAAGCATGCCCAGTTCTTTCATTCTCTCCTCATAGGGTTTTGTTTCCACTCCCATTCATTTTTGTTAGCCTCCTCTGAACCTTTTCCAGTTTGTCTCCAGCTTTCTTAAGCTATGGAGCCCAGAACTGGAGACGGGGCCTATCTAGTGCTGAATATAGGCAACCAGCCCCTCACATGATTTTGAAGGTACACTTCTATTAATGAAGCCCAACAGAGCATTTGCCTTTTTGCCCCCACATCACATGGCGTTCACTCATATTCAGCTTATGATCTATGATAATTCCAAGATCTGTCTCACTTGTAGGATTGTTGAGCGAGGTATTCCCATCTTGCTATTTGATTCCCTTTTCCTATGTGCAGAACTTGGCATGTGCAGAACTTGGCATAGTGAACTTCACTATGCTGTTTTCAGCCCAGTACTCTGGCCTACCAAGATCACTTGAATTGTTTTCTGTCTTCCAAGCTATTAGCTATCCCACCCAATTTTGTGTCATCTGCAAATTTAATCAGCATTCATTGCACCTCTTTGTCCAAATCATTAATAAAAATGTTGAAGAGTGCCGGTCCCAGGAATGGGCCCTGGTTACTCCACTCATTTTCTCTCCCATTCAGAATGGCTCAAGCTTGCAAACACTGGCCTTCCACACTCTAAGGAAGGGCCTTACTCGACTTAAGTACTGGGATCTTTGTGTTTTTATAAATTTATTCAGAAAGTAAAGAAAATAATCTCTTATCAGAAGATAGGTATGTTCACATAAAAAGCGGGGAATCATGTTTCTTTTGCCAAAGTGATTCTCCACACGCAATCAAGTAATCCTTGCCCGCATATGCAAGGCAATATTTGGGTTGGAGTAGTCACAAGAATTTGATGATAAAAGCCAGAATTTATTTTACAAGCACAGTAGAGTTGTTATTCTCCTGTGGCCCTCCCGTTCCCCCAGCTGGGATTAAGGCTATAGAGGAAAAACGACATGGGAAGGGCTGACTATGAGGTTCCTACCCAGCACTTCTGGTCCCAAGTGCATTAAGCTGCTGTCCCACTTACTGCTTTTGCTCTTTCCTCGCAATGTGTGAATTGGTTGTAAGAGAGTGATCAGCACAAGAACAACATGAGGGCAAAGATGGGTCCTTTCTGAAGTATCATAACCCTAATCCTGAACTCTTTGTTCATCTGAACATTACCTTAGTAAAGCTTCCTATGCACCTTCCCAGAGTCCCTTCATTTAGTGACAAATCACTGTTTAGTGACCTCTTGTATAGAAAGCAAAGCAGAGAACAACTCTCGAACATCTCACACAACTTCATGGTGGGAGATTGCAGACAAATGTTTCCATTTAATTAACCATAGGTAAACAACAGCATATGAGCTCTGCGTACTCCCTACCCAGCCTCTTCAATTTGGACAATAATTTGTTCCTATTGCATCTCACTGTGGATAACTATTACAGCAACAGTACACTTCAGTTCATGCTAAGCAGGAATCTCAATTAATCCAGAGAAATGTGGAGAAATGTGGGAGAAATGTGAAGCAGAATAAATGTAGGGTGTGTCCTCTTAAGTAACTTCTGCATGGATATTGCTGTTTTCCTTTGGACACATGAACATAATTTTTGGCAGATTTCCACATAAAATGTTACAAAGGTAGAAAACCGGCCACTTGAAAAATCAGTGCTAAGTTTCTGAAAAGAACAGCTTGTTCACTGGATTAGAGTGTCTACTTGAAAGGTTGAGAAAATGGGGAGTGGGGGGGTTAGAGGCCAGCTTGCAAACAAGCTGAATGTCTCAAGGTTCCTTAGTGGTATGTCACCATTTTTTATTTTTATTTTTTGCTATTCTAACAGTGCCATTAATTCTCTATTAGAATGAGAATAAGTGTGGTGTTGTGGTTAGAGCATTGGACAAGCACTCAGAAGAACTGGTTCTGGCCCCTACTTGACCATGAAGCTCACTGGGCGATTCTGGGCCTGTGATTAACTTGCAGCCTAGCCTACCTCACAGAGCATCCATGAAGATAAATGGAAAGGAGGAGAATTCTGTACATCACTTTGGATTAAAGGTTGCATATTACAAATAAAACACAGAGATGTGCATTCAAATCTTTAAAACTTTTCTGGCCAAAAAAGTTAAAGGCAAGAGCATAGTTTGAAGTCACTTATTCTTTCTTTTGTATTTATGAAAGAAGGCTGGGGGAGGAAACATGGAGAGAATACGGCGCCGGGGTGGGGGGGGGGAAGAGAGGTGGATGTGCTTAGGGGTTGTAGAAAGGAAGAGTGGTGCAAGTCAGATCTCACAGTGGCTGGTGAAGATGGGCAAGAAGCAGTAAGTTGTTGCCTCTGGGAATTCACTGGCTGGGAGTGAATCCTGCTTCCTTATTGGTAGGCATCTGCTGAAGGCAGATGAGTCAGGCAGTGGGTGACGTCCCTCACTGCAGGCACAAGACTGGCACACTCCCAGAGGATCTTTGCCATGCCATGGGCTGATGTTAGAAAGAAAGAAACTGAATGAGTCAGAAGGGGCATCCTGGGCCATCTAGTCTGACCCCTGGCTCCAGCTGGCTCCATGCTGCCACTGGCCAGGCCCAAACAGGGAGATGTGGCCATTCCGATGCAGTGCACCACTACAGCACAAGCTAAGCTTCTCCCTGCCTCAGATGCTCTGCACAGGTCCACTGTTCAGCAGCTTTCCTTTGGTTTCTTTCAGCTGCTGTTCAGTGGTGGCTATTTACTGCTACATATTCTCACTCACTCACTCACCAGCTATCATGTTCACATCTTGATTTGAAACAACCAACCTAATTTCTAACTTGGCAGTCTTGCAGAAGTGCCTTTGAAGGAGAAATTTTTCCTGCTACTTGCAAAAAACTGCCATGGATCACAATTCGAGCACTACACCAAGAGCAGAGTGCAGACAAGAGGAAACAAACTATTGACAAATGAAAGGCTGCATGTGAGCAGAATAAATAGACCTTAGCAGCAAAAGGGAATGCTTTGATGCAGTAGACAGCAAGAAGGCAACGCCTGAGAGTTACAAGCACTATTAATTGATGCTTAAAATAGCAGAAGCGTAAATGATAAGAACACTTCTAGTTAGCATACCCTTGGGCCAAGCAACAAGAGAAACCCAGAAAATTTTAAAGCGCTTGCTTCAATACAGAGAGATAGAAACATTAATAATGTTACAAACAGAATAAAATGATGTGAGAGCAGCCCCAGATTAATTTGTACTATTTGTATTACTATAATGTATGTAAAATGTTAAATACTAAAGAATCTTAGACACTACTATAGTTACAGTATCTTCACATGAGCATATTAAATACATTAAAAAGGAAATGTTTTGAAATATAGCAAACATTTTGAAGAACTATTTCAAAACAGTATTATAATGAAAAACATGGATTATCAATCAAGTTACATAAAACGAGTTTTTTTGTTCAGTGTAATTAAACAGATACGTTAATTGTATACCTTCAGGGAAGAAAAATACAGTTAATATTGCATACCAATCATATTTCCATAATTTAATAAAATTAAGTATTTTGGGGGAAAATCTAATAAAGATGGTGTCTATACCATTAATAATATTTGTTTATAATGCCAATATTTCCTAATGCAGAGAGGAAAACCATATTGACTCCTCCCAGTGTTATATGAGCTGACTTCCACACATGCAGTGGGAGCTGCTGTTCTGTTCCTTCACCCTCCACTCCCACAATCCTCTACAGCAGATTTCGGAGGGAGAGGACAAGGGAGAGCAGAGGCAATGGGAAACCTTCCACCTGTAGTGTCCATTCTGCAGTCAGACAGATACTATGCAACATTAAGTGTTTCCAAATTATGACTGTTTCACATAGAAATTGAAAATTTGTCAACATTTTATTTTACATATATTATTTCTAGGAAGCTCTGGGGCTCCTACCTACCAGATTTCCATATGACCTGCACAGGACTACCTTTCTTTGGTAAGAAGTTACCTCCAGTCTGTGATCCATAGGAACCAAGGCTATCAGTTTCATCATGTGCAAATAATGTGCTAGGTACACTTAAAGTCTGAAGTTGAAACATAAGTCACTTGTATGTGCATGATATTTGTGGAAATCCTCTGCTAAATTGTATGGGTTGTACACTAGCATTCTCCAGTTGACTGACCACCAGATGACTTGGAGTACAAGTCCCATCAGTTTCCACCAACATGGCCAATGTTTTGAGTTGAGGACTGTAGTGCAACCATCTATAGATACCAGGTTGGGAAGCGTTCTGTGCATAGTCCATTGGTGTGCAGGAGGTGGCGGGTGGGGGGGCACCGGTACGACAACCCTGTTGCTTATTCATAGTGACAGCATCAAAACTTTCTTAAATCCCACTCTGCCTGGTTCCTTGCCAGACTTGAGATGGGAAATTAAGAGTGGATGCTGGCAACTGTCTCCATCCCTCCTTCTCCATGAAAATGTTAGCGGTAGCAGTGATTCAAGGTCTGCAAGAGGAAGGAGGTGGGAAGAGTGCAAGAACATAGCTGTGACCACCATTTTCCTGGAAAGTGCAGGGTAGGCAGAAGAGCTTTCTTCCCACTTTTCTGCCTCCTCAACTCTTCAGTCAGCTTCCTCTGCCCTTGGAAGGTTTAGAGACACCACTGTCCTGGTCACACTGAACAGTCCAGTGTGGGTATGTGCCACACTATACACAGGTATGAACTCCATTTCAAGTTACAGATATTTGTGTTTCCTGCATATGCATGTGTATGGATATGAATATGCACGTGATGATCCACCCTGCTCTGTGCAAGGTCTTTTCACTAATAGTGTTTCTGCCTTTTATATCTGTCTTCCTTAATCTGGTGCCCTCCAAATGTTTTGAACCTCAAACCCCATCAGCTCAAGCAGCAGTGATCAGGAATGCTGGAAGTAGTAGTGCAGAACATCAGGAAGACATCAGGTTGAAGAAGGTTTACCTTGTAGTGGTGTAATTAATAAAAACATCATACTTGTGGTACAAAGATGCTTCAAATCAGCTATTACATCTTTTAAAAATTCCTTTGTTCTTCTCATCTACAAGGGCACAGGAACCATTTATTTCCTAACTACTATATATAAAGATCAATTAAATTATGAAATTAACTTCCATGATATTTTCTACAGAAACATATTATATAGATATTACATATATATTTAAGAAACAGGCATTTACCAAAAATGCATTTGGAAAAATTACCTGAATAGTGCTGAACAAGTTGTTGAAGAGTTTCAAACTGTGCCCTGGTTGTAATGTAATATCCTCCATTATCAAGTTTGCGAATTTTATAATGTTTTACATGATCTCCTTTCATATCATCCCAGTCACGAATAGATAATGAATAGGCACCTATTTCACAGCAAAAATGAAAGTTGCATTTAGATAAAGGAAATAGGATTATTCTAAGTTGGGATGCACAGTCTGTGGCTCATGGATGCAACTTGTATAGTTTCTGTACTTCCCCCCATGCTGCTAACTCAATTCTTGCCCGTCCTGCCAATTCATAGCAAACTGGAACCAGTGATGCATATGGGGTTATGGGGAGACAAGAAGGCTTTAATCTGCAGCTGACATTGCTGGTTTCATGTTGCAACTGAAGACAAGTGAAAAGCAATGCCCACTGAGGGCACCAAGAGAGGAGGAGGAGAAGACTTCCTGCTTCCACTAGCATTCAAGAAGTAACCACTCTGGCTGCTTCTATGCCCACAACGGCAATAATGTTGGACAAGGTCACCAGGGGAAGGACAGAGAAGGGAGTGCGTATGTATGCTGGCAGGCTGGCATGTGCACATATATTCCTATGTCTGTCTGTGTGTGTGGGTGCCTGCCTGCCTACGTGTAATCTGCTGTAACCCAATATGGTCTGAGGGTCAAAATGCTTGATGTTCCCCTTTTCTAAAAGAAAGTAATTCAAATTCCTTTGGTAATGTACTGTAGTTCATGCAAAAACAAGGCTGTCTAATGTCATTATAAAAAGCATTATTAAGGCATGAGAGAGAGCCACGCCCCCAACTCACCAGCCTTTTCCACACACAATTAATGATTCTTCAAGACTGCAAATCAGGACCTTGCTTGGTATATGAATTTTAAGATCAAAGATAGCACTGTAAAGGCGAGTGTTAATAAAATTGGGTAGAAGTGGCATTTTAAACATCTGCAGAGTGCTTTTAGTTTCAAGAATGATTCTGAATTGCTTGACAGTTTATGGGCCATTTAAAACTCATGCCCAGCAAATGCTTCCTCACCGCTCAAGCAAAACTAATGGGCAGCCATAAAATGAGTAGTGAATAGGATCTTTTTAGTCTTCATTTGTAATCTCTCTCTTCTACAAAAAGTTTTGACAAGTTACCCCATAACTTTGCACCTGCCTTTTTCCATTCATGCAGAGAATGCATGGGTGACACAATCATACCTGATGTAGAAGTAATGGACGTGATAATTATTCAATAGTAAATTATACTATATTTAACCTTGGTACTCAAAGTTTGCATAAAGAATAAATGTGTGGAATTATTATTTGAGTTTGACTTAGCACTCAGTTTCATTTCAACTTTTTTTTTCTCTGCTAGTTAAAAAGCAAACAGTTAGTTAGTGCTAGTTAACAGTTAAAAAGCAAAAACAGCTGTGCTACCTTTGGTGGTTTCACTCTCACGGATCAAGAAGGTTCCTCGAGGGTTTCCAAATGACAGCAGCTGCCTCTCAGCATCCTTGCGTCCAAGCTTGCCAAAGTACCACCTGAACAAAAATACCATTAAAAAGGTTACAATCAAAATAAGAGGCTAAATAGTATTGCTTAATTTTTATGTAGATTGAGGTAGGCAGTGTGCATGCATAGACATACCCTGCTCCTCCCATTTTTATGTAAAAATGTCTTTATATTCTTCTCCTGGAAACTGAGATTTCCTTAAAGTAAACACTTAATCTCTAGTTGTCACCATTATTATTTCCCAGCAATGCTCCCATGCTTGCCCTTTTTTACTCCCATGCCCATTCATGGAGGTCACTACATGCCCAAAATATCTTCTCAAATTTCCTAATGTTCCAGAAGTAAAGAATATCATTTAAGGAACATTTGTGAGAATCACCTAACTTTTTCTTGTGCCCTGAGAATACTATCTAGAAATCTGTAATGGGTAGTGCACGGCTTCTAGTCCTGAAAGAAAATGTAACAGGACAGTAAGTGCAGCAACCAATAGCCTGCTTCATGCAGCATGGTAAGTCAGGTTTCTGGGAAATTCAGCATGCTGGTGAACACTGCTTAATCACTCCCACATGGATCCCTTACAAGCAGGAATGGTTGAACAAATCCTGGATGCTCCATCCATGTTTTATTTATCATGATTTCCAAATGGACAATTCTAGATTGTTTCTCCCCAAAAAAGCCAGAGTCATAAGTCATGGTATTTGGGTTATGGCTGCATTTTCGGCGGAAGTGATAACCCAAAGTTCCCACTTTAGACAGCATAACAAGCAAAATTGTGATGGGGCCAGGATGGTTTATGGGTTGTTGAGTCTACTTGCAGCAAGATCAGCAAGGCAATGTACATCAGCATGCTGCTCATAAAGCACCAAGCCAGAATTCTTCAGAACCCTGGCTTATCATTGTGGCTGAACAGGAATGGCATACTGCTTGCTGTGATGACAGCTGTCAGGAGCCCAACCTTTACAATATACTGGAAAAGCTGAATGGAGAATAGAAATATACAACTGTTTAAACTACAGTTAGATTAATTTCCAAGTGAAACAGTTTACATATACAGGCCTGCTGACAATCAACTATATACTCATGTAAGATTTAGGATAAAAACCTGTAACATGCTTTTCTAGAAGTAACTCTCTTAATGAGATTTAATTCTCAGGAGGTATGGTTTGGATCACACCATTAGTATTTTAGCTTCAAAATTGTTTGTGTTGTTAATGGATTGTGAAAATACAGAAATATTCACTGTATCATGAATACAGTTTTTAAATGTTAACTATTTTCAAAGGATGTGTATTGCTCAGCGTGCTATTATTATACATTTAGTGTAAGCCAGTTAGTCTAAAACATAAGCATCTGTTTGTCTGTACTCACTTACCAGCTTCATCATAAAGAATTGTAAATGAAATTCTGAATGTTATAGTTATCTTTAGTTATTTCATTTCTGTACCACCCATAGACGAGGTTTACAACAAACTGTTCTTACTTTGACCTGATGAAAAATTGCTTAGTTTATTTCGTCTCTTTCACCCAAGTATGAAAAAGGCAATTAATATGATATTAGATACCTTAAAAATAATAATATTCACACACACAAATCTCTTGCACTTCCTTCATGCACACTACTAGGTAGTAAAATTAAAATACAACATACTCCTCTGCTTGGATGGAGTCAACTGGAGCCACATAATTACTGGGAATGTAACCAGTCTCTCCTGTAGTCAAGGAACGGGCTTCCCACCAATCTCCTTCCCTGTAAAAGAAGTGGGAAAAGTGGAGTGAGAGATTTCCTCTCTAGATATAAAGTTAAGAATCGTACTGATTATAGATGTGATTTTCCACGCTTCATTCCAAGTTCATTTTTGAATTAAAAGAGATGCAACTTTGCAGGAAGCTAAGTAGAGGAAGAGACATGGGAATGTGCAGTAGTAATGGGATGGCCGATTGCAGGCTCAACATTCAAATGTTGTTATTTTGCCAAGAAAATCCACTAGGTGGAGATATTTTATCACAGCCACTAAAATAATGGCCTGAGGCTGTGCCATGTAATAAGGGAGAAGCTTTTGCAAGATTGGATATGGAACATTAAATGGCCTGCTGTATTTTTTACAGTTTGCAATGGTTCCAAAGAATGTGTTAGTGCGGGTGGGTTCAGCTGCCCTAATCACATGATGCACACATGTACAATGGAGCGTTTAGCTGACTTTCCAAACTACAGCCCCCTGAAGTGTATGCCGAGAGGCTTTAAAAGCTCCCTGATTTAAAACACCACTTTCAGTAAAGCCTCTAGAATGGGAAACTGAGAAAGAAGGAACACTGCATGAAAGGAAGCTTGCAGGCATGGTACAAGGGCAATTTTCCCAGTGTGAGTTGTGGATGATAAAAATAATGAGCTTAGGTTGCTGCTTTTGAAAAGAACAATGCAAAGCCTTCTAAAGCTGCCTCTTAACATTACTATAAATTGTGCACTGTACAGTGATTCTGAGTAATACAGATATGAACATTGAAATCTTTAGATTTATTTTCTACACAATGCAGGAAGGGTGGTTTCTATCATTCCTGTCAATGAAGTTTCTAGTGAAACATAAAGGATTGATTGCTTTATGATACATTCTGTGCCTACTTTTATTGTGAACCTTAAGGTACTAGACTGCAGACCAGAAGGAAGTCCTATACTTGAAGCTGAATTTAAAAAGTATCTTCTAGCAATATCAGCATGTGCTCCAATGAAAATATGTCCGTATGGGAAGAAGTTCTTTTTTGTCTTGTGCCTCCAGAAATTCACCCACTGATATCCTTATTACAGTTAAGAATTTGTAGTGTTTTTTTTTTAAAAAAAAATCAAGCAGGAGGTCATTAAGGCTGCAGCAGAACCATTTTGAAGCCTAATGGGGAGACGATAATACACATCTTTTGTCTGCTTTTTTCAACTGCAAATTTAAAAGCAAAGAATGCTTTCAAAAATTCTGTTCTTTTTCTAAGCCATAGTTCAAGCAACTGTACTTTCTTGTACATTAAAACTGTTCAGGTACACAAAATCATGAAATAGTTCTCAAAATTATCTTCTGCTTTTTTCTTTCATTGTTTCTCTCTGTCAGATACTGCTGTGATTGTATTTGATTACAGTTTATGTGGTTACAGGAAAAATTTATTTGGCTTTGCTACAAGGATGGATTCAATCTCATAAGGCTCTTGGGTATATTGAACATATTTCAAATCACATTTTAAAAAAATCCAAATCAGAGCAATTTCCAACATTGATAGTTCAAGATAAGCATGCTAAAAACTGTACAGATATAACTGCTGAGTTCTAAAAGGATGCATTTTCATTGCTGATTAGTTTATTCTGAGTTTCAGTTTCAGATACTAAAATTCAGTTCTGTGTTTAGTCTTAACTCATGATTCAGCCCCTGCATAGAAAACAGGCTGTATTGGTTCCTGGCATGATGAGCAAGCCAAAGACAGCAGCAAGTGAGGGGGATTTCCTTCTGCCGCTCAGACCTGATAATGTCTCCTTTTATGTGCTCCATTCCGAAACAGTAGTTCCAGTCCAAAAAGGAAAGCTACTCTCACCAGTTGGACATAACCTGGAGGATAAGGGTCACTCTAAGAGGATGCATCCTGAGGAGATGTGTGCTGTTAGGCACCTTAGCCAAATAGTAAGAGGGAGGAGAGGGGATAAGGAGGCAGGGAAAATCAGTGAGCCTGGCCAATTCCTTGCCTGCTGCCACATCTCCCTATGTGAAGACAATATATCCTGCAATATACAAAACTTCATTTGCTGTTGGTGCCAAGTCAATTTCAAATTTTTTGTGGCGATGGTGGTGCTTAATTTTTAATATCTGTGTTCGTGTTTGTGTCTTGCATTTTTCCCTCCTGCAAGAAGCTCAAAGTGGCTTACAAAGGTCTCGTCTCCATTTTATGCTCACAACAGCAACCTGGGAGGTTGACAGTCAGTGACCGGCCCTAGGTCTCCCAGTGGGCTTCACAGTCACGTGGGGACAAGAGCCTGGCTCTCCTGAGCCCTTGTCCAACGTTGTAACTGCTGTGCCTTGAAGCTGGTCTTTGGCAGTTCTTCACATCCTTCTGCACTTAGAAAAAGTAGATTCAGTTTTCTTTCTTTCTGGAGATAACTTGGCATAGAAACATGTATTTTAAAAACACACCCTCACATTTGTGAAGCCTCAAACTAAGTTCAGTAACTTCAAGCAAATCTACATTTCATACTATAATGCCCATCTTTTCTCCAAAAATGTGAAAAGAGGTGATCCTAATCTAATGTACCATGATGTTTTAAAATAACAGAGGACGTAAGTGGTTCAGTGTTGTTGACTTTCCAATTCATTTTACAATAATTAAGAAAGTTATGCAAAAATGTAAAACTCACGAGCTATTAAGTATCTGAAATTTTTCTCCTTTATGAAAACTTAAGTCATCTTCTGTTCTTGCCTCATAATCATACAAAGCTACGAAAAGAGTTACACCTGTGGAAAGAAACACTAATGTAAATATAACCTTCACAAGCTCTCATTTTATGTTTTGACAAGTTCATAATTGGTGATGGAAGTAGAAGGAAGGAGGAATGCAGGTTGGCTACAGACTCTGCCATCAGATTTTGTAAAACATATAAAATGTAAAATTTACATAAAGCACATTTTTTTCAGATCAGAAGGGCATTGCACAAATGCTACATATTATTCTTGTGTATCAAGTATTTCACATACGTTATCCTCAAAACAATCCTGTAAAGCAGGTGATGGTTATTATCCACCTATCTGTCTGAGATATTCCCGAAGGCCACCTATTGACTTGATGTCATGACAACCCAGGGTGAATTGTCAGTCTTGTTTGCTTTATGGTTGCTTGCTATGATGCCCAAATCCACTGCAGTTTTTTCAGTTTGTTAGCCATGAACAAATTGCCTTGAGAATCCCTGGCTGGTTGGGTTGTTCAAAATGGCTTGTTCTCGGAGTGGCTTGTGACATGTGAATGTAGCACAGTGGCTTCTTGGAAAGAGCTACAGCGGTAGTTGTCAGGAATAGCAAAAAATCTAATTGCCCCTTGTGATTTCACTGAGGACATTCCTCTTTATTTGTCAAAATGAGACTAAACAAATTTCTTCTCTATGTCATCACCTCCCTAGAAAGGGCAACCTTTTGTTTTTCACCTTTGGGAGATTTGGGCATATTTAATGTTATTTTTCCTCACCTTCAGGCAGATTTACATATATTTAATGTTTTTCATTTTTCACAAACAGGGAGATTTGCCTAAATGTACCTTTTACATTTTTAAACTATTGGGGAGATTTGCACAATTTTGTTTTAGTGCGGTAGTTATTGCCATTAATAAGCTTCCTTAAATCTCCCTGAAAGTTTTTTTTTAAAGAATAAACTGACATTTACACAAATCTCCTTGCAAGTGAAAAAAATGTGCAAATTTCCCAAAAGGAAAATCTACAGTGTAAATGCTGTTCTGCTAATGAGCAAATTTGTATTCATTCCAGAGCAGACTGCTCAGGTTCAGCTGCGACAAGCCACAGAGGACTTGATTGTTTGCTGGGAGTAATGTGGCTCAGAAAGTGAGCATTGTTGCTTATTCTCAGGGTGGCTTACTGTGATGTGCAGCTCAGCCCACTGAGTTGAAACCCATACAGGAGTTACTTGAACCAGAGACTTTGGACTTCCTCACCTTATACCACAATCTCAGCTTTTATGGTGTACCAGATCTCACATACACTCACAAATACTCACTAAATGTGAAAAACTGAGGTAAGCATAGGCTGCAGAATGTGAAACCTCTGTTAGCTGCTGGTTGCAAGGGTAGTTAGATGCATATCATATACTGCATGGGAAGTAATTCAGCAAATAGTAGGAAGCTTTATCACAAGCCCCACACGTTTACGTGTCTTGTCCACGTAGCTGATGTGTGCAAGCAGTTTATGGACATGATCCCTGAGCATGAGTAAAGTGACTGGAGTGTTGTGCATAAATGGAGCATTGTGTGCAGCACTCCTGCACTGTGAAGCAGGAATGGGTACAGAGGGTATTACACCCTAAAAAAATACTGGTGTATTCCACTGAGTCCCTTATGAACAAGAAACATTGCACTGGCTGCGAATTAGAGATGGGTGAGACAAGAACACAGAGGATACTCAATAACAGAAAGCCTGGCATTCTCATTTTGTACTGAGGAAACTTCCAAATATGCTTTAAAAGAAACAATATCTCCAACCTCTTATCAGTGATTTACCTGTTCCCCCTCTTGTACGCAACGTGCCAGTATGTGAAGAGGAGTTAACGCCACCAAAGACAGTTAGTCCTTGTCCTCCAGCAGGGAAGTTGTTGTAGTTTGGAATTGAGGTCACACCAAAACTTGGGTAATGCTGTGGGGTGGGATCTGTCCCATAGCGGTAACCTGAACTCTGGTTTAAGCTGCCATCCCTCTCGTCTGTCAGTTTTGTTGCTTCTTTATCCTTACATTGCACACAGCCCATTATCTAAAATCCTGCAGTAAACGAAAGAAGAAACAAATTTCTGTTTTCAGGCTGATGTCTAGCACATCTCATCTAAATGATGCAACATATAAATAGTAAGGACTATTAGCCAGAGAGTGAGAATGATTTTGGGGATATACAGGTATTACCTAGTTTGCACATTAATGCTGACTTATGGGTTGTTGAGCTCTGGGTTACTGTTATGTTTGAACCCAGCTGCAGTAAGAAACCATGGTTTGTTAACCATTAACAGCCAGAGAGAGAAAACCTAGTTAATTAAGCAAGTTGAATTGTGGGTTATCGTTATATGCAGTCCAGAACTATAGGTTAACTATTGGTTGCCAGCCATGAATAACCCACAAAAAGAATGCTTCATTGTTGTTGATTTTTTCACTGGGCCACAGAGATAGCAGCAGACAAGAGTAGGGAAAAACTGAAAGAGAAAACAAATTGTCTAGCAGACAAACCCTAGATAAGGCAACAAAACATGGTTTACTCTTACACGTGTGAACAGGTCACTGATAGTTAAAGGCAACTGAAAGACATCTCCCAGATGCAACTTCTTGAGCACACCATTTGGGACTTGTGCTTCAAATCAGAATGATGGGAGAGCAACAGCAAAGGTTTCTGGTTCCTGCATTGCCAAAATGTGATTCTAATATGGCCCATCCTATTTCTTTGTTAACTATAGTGTGGACGATGTAAGGACCAGCACAGGATAATGTCTCCCACAAACTATTCTCAGGATGTCAAAGCATCTGCACTTCATGACTTCAGTCTCCCTCTAGCCTGTTTCAGATGACAGGAATTCACACTAACAGTTCACTTTGTGTAGCTGTACCCCAAGTTAACATTTTGAAAGCAGAGTGCTTTAAGACTATCTTGATTTTCTGAACTAACTCCTACCAGTGTGGAAAATATTGTTCACAAACTTTTGAGCCTTTAGCTACTGATTCTAAATACCCAACTTCCACCCACTTCATTAAAAAAAAAAAAAAAACACCCACGCTGAAAAAGCTTACAGGAAGGGGGGGGGGGGAAAAAAAAACAACCCCACAAGAAACAGTTTGGTCTGACATATTTTTATCAGAGATTTATTCATGTTGCAAATGCCTGATCTTGTGGAAAAATATATATTAAAAGCCGGCTCCAAGTTCTTGACTATCCTCAGAAATCTCAATCAGAAGTCCTGATACAATAGAGCCTTTAATTCATCCTGCAGCTGCCCTGCTCCAGATCACTCACCTGCCATCTCTCAGACTTGGGAATGGCAACTGTGGCTGCTCTTTGTCCTCAATACAGCCAGGGCACTGGTTGCCTCCCTATCATCTCTGCCTGTGGCTGTATCTGATCCCTACTCCCCAGTAGCTGCTTACTTGGAAAGGTTTTGTTTCATACCGGTGCCACTTCGCTATATACACTGCAATCAGAATTGCATGGTTTCCTCCCCCCGGCCCCGCACAGCACAAGTTGGAATATTCCACTCATGTGCACAGCCATCCAGAACATTTGAGAGCATAGTGTCAGGTTCTCCCTCCATTCTCCCAATCCCTAGAGTGATTTGAAAGATTGTAGAAGTTACATGTGAAATACAGCCTTTTGCAGGGGTTCCAGGTGCCACTATTTTACTGATTTACACTACTTTCTAGAAGCTTCTGCACCGATCCATACAAAGTGCTCCTGAATTGGTGTGGACAGAATATGGTTTCCACAGAATTCCAGAAAAAACACCAGTGCCCACATTTGGGCACCTGGATATATCTATGAATTCTTCCATTGGGTTTGGCTTCATATCTATTAATAGTACTTTAAAGATATTTGAAAACCTTTTCAAATTCGAATTTAGCAATGATATGCTTTATTGTGGTAGAACAGGAGGATATGACCCTAAATGAATTATTCACATGCTGAGCCAACACAAAAGTGAATCATTAACTTCAAGTTGCCAAAAAACAGAAGAAGAAAGCAGTTATTCATGAAAAGCGTGCCATCTGAACAAGTAACTTAGAAAACTATGCCAGGAATGAATACATACACAGGCCCTCCAAGTTGTAATAATAAAATAAAATAAAATAAAATAACCCCAATTTTAAAAAGAGGTAATACAAGATTGGACTCAAGCCAGTTTCTTTTCCTTCTACTTTTTCATTTGCTGGCAAGCGTATTCTGTGAGAGAGATGGGAAGGCGGTGGTGGAAAAGTTTGATGGAGAGCTTATTTCCCTTTCTATTGTCCTTTTCAACTTGGCTCTAGTGTCTAGGCTGTGCACGTATAAAAGCTGCTTGATTGCAGGACTATGTAAGATGTGACAGAGGGTGTAACCTACATGTTTCTTTTCAAGACAAGACTTTGAAAAGTTGTCCATTCCTTCCTGAAGACACTAACTATGCATGATATCATTGGCTGCCTAGTTAAAATTCAGGAGGAAATGCACACATGCTGCTGGACTTCATTCAAAACGACTCTAGGCTTTTTGTAAATAATTTTAAGTACAACCTCCGATTTACAGTGGCACTAAAGTTGTAATCAACCACAGGGACAGAATCTTATTTTCTGCTGTTATCACAAAGCATCTCAAACTTTCACTGGGATGAATGCAGGCATTCATGACTCTGGAAAGTTACTCCAGACAGTAGTGATGATATCATTCAATGAAATCTGGAAACCATTTATGCCAGCCCCCCTGGAGATTTATGGCCAACACTGCAAGTAGTAAACAAGTTTTTAATCTGGTTCTATTAGATGATGTATTTCTTCCTTGAATGTTTGGATATTGCTGGCTTATAGAATACTTCTGAAATTTATCATTAGCTTTACGAGAAATTGTGCAACTGAGTTCACATTTCCAAGGACAATGAGATAGTTTCTGAAGAAATAAAAGTTTGCAGAAATAATGTAACTAAGCAACACAAGGGCATGCATATTTCTTGTTGTTGATTTTATGGAATCAATATTTCTACATCCACCATATGTTACTATACATACAGAGCTAAGACTTCAGTTTTATACATGCTTACTTAGGAGAGAACCCCAGTGAATTCAGTGGGACTTACATCTCAGTAGATACATAGCAGATTGCACTGTAAGGCTAAAATCCTATGTATGTTAAGCTCCTTTGAAAGAAGAGGGGCTTAATTCTGAGTCCCAGTGTACAGAAACGAAGTACAAGAGACAAGTGTGGTTAAAAACATAAACAATTTGGGAAATTTGACACAGACAATCTGATGCTAACCTGCTTACCTGCTTATTCAGCTTACCTGCTTTTGTGTACAGTATATCAGTTACACAAAAAGCAAACATACTGGCATGTTCTTTCAACTGTATTTATTATTATTTTTATCCCATCCCATTAGTCATAAGGCTCCCTGGGCCTTTGCATGGTTCGTATTCGTACAAAACGCCTAAAATTAAAATAAATGCTCTATTTACTTTCTGATTTATTTTTCACATACTTGGGCTGTTGTGCTTAATATGGCAAAAGTTTGCTTAATATGGCAAAACACAGGTATAAATACTGAAAAGACATGATTATGGAACTTACATAAGTTGAATGATTCATTAAGGTAAAAATAATCTTACTTTCTTTGAGCTTTCAAAATGGGCTAGAACCAGCTAAATACTTTCATATAAACTCTCACACTTGTTTTCTTCCCACTCACTGTGCTAATCAGCTTTTCACAGAAGAGAAAAGAGCTTATAAGTAGAGTCCAACTTAAGCAGGAACCTTGCTGTGATGTAAACACTTGACAGCTGTTTTAAAATGAGCCAATGTCGAATGCTGTTCATATGGAGTTTGGGTGCCCACTTGAAAAGGGATGATGCCTAAATCTTTCCAGCCACACAATGAAGCACTCAAAGCTTGTACAATATTGCTATGCCAGTGTTGCCAAAGGGTAGAGTCCACATAGAACTCGTAGTTCACCAAAGACAGGGTGAGCAAATTTGGGGCATCCCAGGAGCCATTTTTCATCCGTCAAAATCCTCCTTATTTCCATCACACGGACGTCTGCCATTCCAATGAAATTTGGTGAGGTAGTGGCGGCTGCTCTAAAATCAGGGCTCTGCCACCAAAATCTGTCAGCAAACTGCAATAGAGGTTTAAAGGGGGCTCATTAAGCTTATTTTCAAGCTACATTTACTCCTTTTAAGTCTCCACTGCTGTTTCCCTCCCCAACAAGGGAAGCAGAGGCACTCTGGCTGTCAGTGGTAGCTTTCAAGATTTTGTGGGCACTTGGACAAGGGCCCTGGCAACAGAGAATGCAAACTGAGAATGCCACCTCCCCTGCCTGGCTTCTGGCTTCCTAAGGTGCATGGAGAGAGCAAAATGAATTACATTGTTGGAGAAGGGGGCTGTTAACAGGGCGTGGAACCCTGACAAATGCCATGCCACACCACCTCTTGAAGCCTATTCTACTCTCACTTTATTCCGTTTTCTGCATCTGCATTTCCCACAATGCAGAGAGGCATCCCAGTGTCACGTTGCTGAAAGTTCAAATCACATTCTATTTCTATTCTTAGAGGCCCCACTCCCTTTTCAAATAAAAGTCTTTTATTCTTGTCCCAGTGGGAGGAAGTATCCAAATCATCAATATTTGGCAAGCACAGACATGTACAACTGCAAGCAACATTCCCTGCAAGCTTGACATTGTTTCCTGCTTTTTTCAACCGTGGAAGTAAAAATTAAAATAATAAAAAGTCCTTCATAAACCACTGATGGTCTCAATGTCTGTCGCATTTGTTTTCTATGATCTTTATTCCCTCATGCTGATAGGGAAATAAGGCTGAAAGAAAGTGACTTTTCCAAGTGTAGGGTGTGCTCTGGAACCAAGAAAGAATCATCTTGTGTCCAATGGGAGATATGTGTATCAAGTTATGCCATTAATGCAACATCTGTGTTGCTAATACCAGGTCCTGTGCTAGGAACAGATGGGCCTAGCTGTAATTAGAACACATGGCCCAAAACTTTTCTTACACTTCAGTTGCAAGTAAAAATTCCATCAACAGTTTCATGT